ATGTTTTGATTTTGTGAATTGTCGTCAGTTGTCAATTGTAATTTTTACTTATGAATACTAAATTATGGCTCACCTAAATGAAACACAACGCATAGAAATATTAATTCTTAGTGGATGCGGAGATAAAAAAGAACACAGAACGAGGTATGCAATTTATTCAACGCAAAATATCCGGACAGACCCATCAGCCAATCAACAGTAAGTAATATAGTCCGAAAAACACTGGGTGTCCTAAAATTGAACACAATGTGAATCTTGATATTTTATTAAATGTACATGACAATCCTTACAGTAGTTCAACACAAATGGGTGAATATGCTGGAGTTTTCCAACGATCGGTATTATGTATTAAAAAAAAAAAACCCGACGACGATCCCGATCCCCGGCTTCAATTTTCTGAAATTATGCAGGATTTATGTATGCGCAATCCATAATTCATCAATAAAATCCCTTTTTCCGATGAAGCCACATTTTTTATGCATGGTACCGTGAATGTTCAAAATTACAGATATTGGAGTCAAGAAAACCCACATTGTCAAGTCAAGTCAAATTTATTGATCACATGCGACATTATCCAAAGTACATGTATGAGACAAGTCAAAAATACAGACATAAATCTTAAAATTATATAAATTAATTAAACACGATAAAACATACTTAAAAATTATTTTTAGAATATTGCTCTAGCTCACAAATGTATTGATGTACACACCTCCGAAAGTTTGGCTGATGTAAATTCATTCGTATAGCTATTGGTAATTTGTTAAAGAAACTTATGGCTGCATAATGTGTGCTACCTTCCAACAAAACAGAACGATGTTGTGGAAGCATAAAGTGATTGTCTCTGAATCTTGTTGAATAAACATGGTTAAATTGAAAGTTATTAAATTCATAAATTTTGCTATGCAAATACATTATACACGAAAATATATACAGACCAGGAATTGTCAGAATATTGTTTTGTCTAAAGATGCCTCTACAAAATCTCTAAATTTCATTTTATAAATTATCCTAATAGGTCTTTTCTGAAGTACGAATATCTGCTCTAATTCAGAGGTACAACCCCAGACTTCAATGCCATATTTGGCTATTGAGTAAAAATGGGCAAAGTATACTGTTTTTAATATTGATGTATGAAAGAAACGTGAAAGAATTCTTAATGCATAACATGCGCTACTTAATCTGGATTTCAAATTAGAAATGTGGTTTGACCATTTACAATTACTGTCTAGAAGTACCCCCAGCAACTTCGTGCAGTCTGTTTTATCTATTGCTGCTTCTATAGTGGCTTGATGGTTTAATAAATTATTTGACGTGAAAATCATATACTTTGATTTCTCTTCATTCAAAACTAATTTGTTGGATAAGAAATAACTTTTGATGGTGGATAGTATCTATGAAGTTTTATTTTGCAAATTTTGATTAGACGTTCCTGTGACTAGAATGTTGGTATCATCCGCATAACTGATAATGTTAACCCCAGTCAGTGAATTAGTTACCAAGGTTATATCATTAATAAATACTATAAAAAGTAGAGGACCCAATACACTACCCTGAGGGATACCATAATGGATATCCAATGTGTTTGATTCGCTTACAAGTCCATTAGATGTTATCTTTACTTTTTGTCTTCTATTCTCTAGGTAGGAAGTAAACCATTTTAGAACTATACCACGAATACCAATCCCCTCAAGTTTTATTAGCAACAAATTATGATCCAAAGTGTCAAAAGCCTTGGACAAATCGAGAAATAAACCACATGCCTTTTCTCGTCTGTCCAAAGCATCCAACACTAAGCTGACGAAATTTGCAAGAGCTGTAGTTGTAGACTTAGAAGATGTAAAACCATGTTGAAAATTATGCAAGACACTATGCTTTTTCAGAAATGCGTTCATTCTAGTATAAACTAGAGTTTCAATTATCTTTGAAAACACAGATAAGAGACTTATGGGACGATAGTCGTTAAGGTCATCTTTATCACCACTTTTGAATAAAGGGATTACAATAGATAGTTTAAACATACTAGGAAATATTTCTTGTTGAAAAGAGGTATTACAAATATCCGTCAGTGGGTCTGCGAGAGTATTAATGCATTGTTTTAATAACTTAGGGGAAATCTGATCAAAACCACAACTGTGTTTGGATTTAAAACTTCCGACTATACTAGTTATTTCCTGTGGGTTAGTTGGATATAAAAACATAGAAGAACTATTACGGTTTTTATTGGATTTGTCTCATTGGATCATTGGATGACTGAGTCACACACGCAATATCGTCAGACAATAAATGTATGGGCAGGGATCATTAATGACAGAATCATTGGCCCTTTTTTCTTTAGAGAAAATCTAACAGGAGAACGTTATTTAACTTTTTTGAGAAATCAACTTATACCTGTCCTTGCTAACATGTATCCAAATGTCAATAATCCAAATTTACCTAGTGGAAATATCTGGTTTCAACAAGATGGAGCCCCTTTGCATTACGCACCTAAAGTACGTCAATTTTTAAATCATTGCTTTCCCAAGAGGTGGATCGGAAGACGAGGTTTTATATAGTGGCCAGCAAGGTCGCCAGATCTAGCACCTCTAGGCTTTCTCCTATGGGGTTACATAAAATCAAACGTTTATGTGAATTGACCCCAAAACTTATAGGACTTGAAAGATAGAATTAGGCATAAAATGAGTCTAATTGCTCCAGAAGTCATCCGCAGTGTACTTGATGAATGTGTCCGTACATTCGCATATTTTCAAGAAACCGATGGATGGCATTTCGAAGATTTAATTTAAAATAATTATTATGCATAATTTGATTACTTTCAAGTACATTATTAATTAAATCATAATTATTTTTGTACCCTTAAAAAAATATTTTAGTTAAAAATGTAATGTTAAATAGAGAATTAAATTATTCAAATAAGGTGTCGCGTTATATCAATTTCTATTTAAAAAAAATTAACGGTTACGTCACTACACCCACACCGGTGACGTCATCCGTACTTCCATGTACGTTATAAGATGGGTATTTTATAACAAAAATCGACCTGTTTCGGGATTTCCCTTAAAACTCGACGGTTCTCGAAATAATGATAATATTCCATAATTTAGCCGTTCACTGTATTGTGTGTCAGCCAAATGAAATAAATTAGCTGATACATAAATGAGGAAGTATCCAAAAAAACGGTTGAACACGTCGATTAGTATTTATAGTTGCCCAGTTTTTTCCATAAAAACTTTTATACGGGGTATATCAGATAACGGTGGCCAATACCAGCTTGCTTATTTTAAATATAACACCCTGTATATTAATTAATTTTTTGATTCCTCAGATCATTTTTGACATTTTTTTAATATGATGTTCTATACATATCTTACATGTCTATACCTATACATGTCCTATCTATTTATAAAAGAAAATTATTTATTTGTCGCTACCACATTTAGGTCTTGGTAATGATATAGTAAGTAAAAACTATTTAAATTTTCCTTTTTATTGATATGTTAAAAAAAAAAAAATTGTTTACTTTGGTTTAAAACGCCAATTTTTTATTGTTTAATGACAGAAGTAGTCAGTGCTATAGTCCTTTGAATTTCATTAACTGCAAGCCAGAAAAATGGTTCATTTAACAGAAATGCACAAAATTACAATTATACAGATGATTGGCCATGGAGATAAGACTCGGACGCAAATGGAAGTAGCTCGTTTATTTCACGAAGTGTTTCGTGATTTGCCGCACATATCTCAAGGGGCAATTAGTAAAATAGACAAGCAATTCCACAAGCTGGATCATGTTAAGAAGGTAAAAAAAGAAGCTGCCATGTTTTTTCTGTAGAAACAACCACATACATCTGTTCGAAAAGCAGCCCCAGTACTCAATATTAGCAAATCATCGGTTATTCGAATATTACAAGAAAACAAAGAAGAAGAAGCGAAAAAAAAAAACAAACAAACCAACAAACCCTGAAGCAAGAAAATTATTAATTACCATCTGTGTCTAAAATAATTATTTGGAAATAAATATAATGATTTTAACACTGTTTATCTGCCTTTTGGCGATAATGGAGCAATACAACAAAAAACTTGTCTCCGAACTTGAATGTATGAAAACTGATAAAAATGTGAATAGCTTTTTAGAGATGGGATAAAAAAATAACTACATGGGAACTTGGGATGGGAACTTTTTAGTTAATTAAAAACGAAATGTTCTAACACTCAGCCAGATTAGGGGTTTGAAATATCCCAAATTGGACCGAAACGTAGTCGGCTATTTGGACTCGTGATTAATGCTAATTTCTTGATCTAAATGAGAATCCTGGTATTCACGTGTACTGTATCCGATTTTTTTTAGCGAAGTTGTGGATATTCCAAAAAAACCCTTCCACGAAGCCTGCAAATCCCCTTGAATATCCACACGGTTCGGACTAGTCCAGATCCCACATGGAACAGCAGCAAAAAAACAAAATGCCGTTTTTAATCTAGCCCAACCTTTCAGTAACACCGTCAAACCTAGAATCCCCTAGAATCACTCCCTTTCCGTCGTCTTTCCGAACACTTGACAAATTGACACACGGAGGTCACCGAATAATAACGAGATTCAAACATTTCAATTTTATGATCCCAATTCTTCCAAGATGACTCTAGAAAGAAGGATCTAAATTAGTTTCTTCACAAAAAATAGGACGTTTTCCCTTAACTTCAGCACAATTTGCCAGACATAACCCCTATTTGAAAATTACTAATTTTATTTTCGCCACCTTGCTTATAATATATTATAGGCAACCGCTCTTACACGTCTTGACTTTTTAAATTTTGATAAAATAGAGGTGGGACTTTCTACTTTAAATTTGGAATGTAACAACGAGAATGCAACATGACAATGCCCTATGTTCGGTTCATTTGTGTGTAAATTATCTTATTATTATTGTCGTGAGGTTAAATTAGCATTCGGATTACTAAGTAAACTACCTTGAGACCACATATTGATAAACTAACTTTTATTGTAGCAACGAAAGTCTGGAAATCATCGATCCTTACCCCATTGCTACTAAAAAAATGGAATTCCTAACAGTCATTGACAATCCCAAAAACGTCAAACACGTTCGATCGATGAGCGATGTAACAATGCCAGTTGGAACAAATGAGTCTGAAATAAAATCTTTCAGTTCTGGCCAAGAAAATAAATCTACAAACGAAACTGACGCAATAAAAGAAAAACAGAACGTTGACCAGAAAGCTCTTACGAGTGGAAATTTTAATATTACTATAAACATTATTGAAACTGGTAAGATACTTTGTTACTATAATTTTTAACATTCAGACGATCGCGCCCTTTTATAATTACATAAATATGCGCGTGACAAGAATTTGCTTTCCATAAGAATTTAATTAAGATTATTACGTTACATCCAGTAGGTGACTCATCCAGCAGGTCTCGAACTGTTTTTTTTATAGCGGCTGTTTTTTATAAAATTTGATTTGGTTTTTTTTCAGATATATGATTGCAGCCTATTTGTATGCAGTGGAAGTGTACAATATTAACTCTATTACTCATAAATATTTAGTTCGCGGTCACACCCAAAACGAGGACTACGCTGTCCACAGCATAATAGAAAAAGCTGTAAAAAAGGCTAAAAATTCGGGTTCAATTTATGTACCCGACCAGTATATTTCATTAATAAGATATGCCAAAAAGAAAGGAAATCCGCTGGTTGTTAAGGAAATGAGTTTTACCACAGCCACCTTTACTTCCAAGCCATGAAGTAAAAAAGGCAACATCGCATTCTATGACGTCGGTAGTCCGATAATCAGGTGTAAGGTCTACCAGAAAATTAAACTACTTTGAATTTTAGGAAACTGATATTTTGAAAACTTCAATTCATTACAGAAATATTTTTAGGGAAATTAAATTAATAAAACCCTATATTTACCTAATAAATATATATAAAGTTTTATTATTATTTAGGTTATATTATCAATAAAGTAATCACTAGAGTAAAATTTATTGCACTTAAAATACAGTGTCAAACAGTTAATCTTACAATCAAATGCAGTCAAGAATCTCTATAAATTTTAAATATTAAGTACTTAAGCATATAAATAACACAATACATTAACACGACATTTAAAAAGATTATTAAAAATACAAAAGATATAAAATTTGTTCAGTAAAAATTTAGTGTAACTATTATGATTAAAAAATTCATCCTAAGAAATCAGACACAATATAAATATGGTTCTAAATTAATCTAATTCAAAATTAAATATTTTACTATTTACTTATAACTTTTGTTGAATTTTCATACTTAGGTATACGAAAGTAGCAATTTTAAATATGAATAGGTTTTTTGTCATATAGACCAAGTTAAGAGAGGTATACATGAAAAATGTGTTGAGTGTAACATACCATTTATAACTTGTATATCGATTTAAAATAGCCTATATTCTCAAAAGATTTTTGAATGTAATACTCAAATTTGTTATCACTTGTCTAAAAAGCAGATCTAAATGAGAAAGTAAGTTCTCTAATTGTGACCATCTTGTTAATTTACTATATTGTAAAATCCATTTCAAATCATTACTACTTAGTCTATTCTTACCTACATTGACGATTACACTACAATTACTGCTAACTATTACACTATTTATACTTATTACTCAAATATTATCACACTCGTGTCCCAACTGATTAATGTTTAATACATAGAAATATAGTCACTTGTAATTTTACTTGTCCAGTTTTTCAATGGGATATTATTGTCTAAGTCTAATTGTCATAATTAGGTTATCTCTTGTTCCCTCTTCTTATGCAAAAAGTTTCTTCTGTCTTCGGGATTCCTTCTTTATTTAGTACGATGAACAGTTACATATGATGGTACTTCAGGAAATATATTAGGAACTGCATTGCCTTTTAATTTGGGAAATATTAACTTTTCAATGTGTACATTTCCATCTTTATCTTCTCACTGTTCAGTCCGCTGAATATCATCTTCATGAAAATGTTTGGCACATACTACGGAAGATTTGGTAATTGTATAGCCGTCTCTATGAATAGAGCATAACCCAGTATACCTTCTTTGGGGATCTTTGGCAAACGAAAACGTACTTTCTGCCTGTTTCGTTTTTAAAGTACTGGCATAATTGGTTTTGCAACCAGATACACAACAATGCCAGAGCATCTGTAACAAAAAACAAAAGTATTATTATTGTTGTTTTTAGTTTACATATTTTGTAACAAGAAGCAAAAGTATTATTATTTTCAGTTTGTTTTGTAGGTTATATTTATACTTGCCTTTTAAATTGTCGTTAAGAATATTCTAAAAGTTCTAAATTTAATGAAATTTCACTTATATTAATCTTTTCTAATTGATTTAAACACAATTTACAAATAAAACATTCGAATAAAGTTAAAAAAACACTAAATTCAACAAACTTTACAAGCCTTCCTTTATGAAATATTAAACAAAACAAACCACAGTCGGACTCCCACGCGTTGTTGCCAAATTTCTACTTCATGGCTTGGAAGTAAAGGTGGCTGTGGTTTTACTGATTTTGTTGATTTGAATGCTTTATATGGAGAACTAGCTCCTAGTTTATTTAAGAATGTTAACGGACAAGAATTCAAAATTAGCGATGTAAAACTACTTCAGTTTGAAAAAGGATGCGAAGTATTCCGTTACAAATTAAGTTTTAAACAACAGGAATGGGACAGCGTAGAATTTAAACCTAAGAAGAGGCGTGTTTCTGAAGTAAAATCTATTAAGGAAATTACGACAAAATCTGTTTACACCAACAAAATCCCCTTAACAGATAACAAAAGGAGGGACTTAAAAAGTTTAGTGGACAGTCGAATTATTCCCCAATTTTATAAATATTTCTTTGATTCAGTTATTGATTAAATTTAATTTTTATCTATTGCTTAAAGTTTTTTGTGGATTTTCTTGTTTAGTTCCGATTTTAACTTTTGTGAATTTACAAAATAGTTTAAGTAGATCCTTTTGATCTCAATAGTGTTGATATTTTTTATTTAGATTAATTTAGTTGTACCATGTATCACGTTTAAACTTTCTGTGAATGTACATTTCATACATTACTTATAAAAATATCGACAAAAATGTTGCGTTTTAATTATACACTTTTGGAAAAACAATGACCTAATTACAAAATCAAAGTATTCCATATACACTACCTAATTTGGATATGTATCAGTCAGAACGGTTCATATTTAACTTTTTCTCCCAATAAAATCACTACAAATGACTTTCATTTACTTCTCTAAAAGTAAATTGCAAAAAATAATAATTTTCATTCGTCTCCTCTGTAAAATTTTCAATTTTACAGTTACGTCATTGTTTCACTGGAACGGCGATATTATCGCTGCTATTATCAATGTCAGTAAAAAAAAAAATTAAAAACAACACTAGAATCCAAAATGCCACAACAAAAAATGGCTGACGAAAATGATAATGAAAAAATGATAATTGTTCAGGAAACGAAAAAAACCGAAAGTTATTTTTTTAAAATGCCGTAATTCAAAAGTTAATTTCTCTATTGAATTGGGACTCGGGCAAATTGTTACAATAAGGTTCACACCAAAGTTCAAAACATTTTTTTTGTTAAAATTCACCCCGTGTCTCCACCATCACCCCCCCTTTAGCAAATGCGTCATTGTTCTCCTAAAATTATGAGTCAAAATAACAAATTCTGACAAAAAAGGAAAGGGGAAAAAAGTAGTTCTTGATAACAATTTGATTGCTGTCTAGGTGCCGTTTCACATGTAGCCGACGCCGACGGTCAGCGCTGACCGTCAGTGATGATGAATAAATGCCTTGCATTGCACAGCTGATCATACGCAAGGCATGTGAAATGGTTAGTTTGCGCTAATGCATTTAATTTATCATCACTGACGGTCAGCGCTGACCGTCGGCTACATGTGAAACGGCACTAAGACTATCATTTATTTTCAGAAACTTGAACAAACAGTGTAAAGTAAGCAAATCTAGATTGTAGATTAAATTATACCAAACTAAACATAGTAACTGAAAAGTACAATCATTAGTAGGTAACAATAAACAAAAAATGTAACATGTAACAGGGTTTTCTAATTATTTAAAGGATCATAGAAACTTTTATAATAGCTGGGAATTATGTTGCTGTTTACCAAACTATTTAAATCTCAAACTTTATTTTCGGAGAGTAGTATTGTTTTCGTATACGCAGGTTTCAAAGCGATATTAGTTGCTTTTATATTATCTGCTGAACGCCTTTTCTTTCCTGTAAACTGAATTTGACTCCATTCTAATTGTTTATAACTATTCTTGTAGTAAAACTTATTACTTCCTTTTTCAAATTAAAGTATTTTAACCTCACTCAATTTGAAGATATTTCCGTCTACGCCTTTGCCATATCAGGTGCCATCTCATCATGCAACGCCTTAATGTTCTTAAAATCTGCAAAACCCATTTCTGTGACAGAGGCTCTCTTTTCTTTTTCGCTTGTCGGATAATGGTTACATATTGGTCAGGTACATAAATCGGCCCAGATCTCTTAGCACTCTTTAATGACTTTTCTATGACGCTATAAATTGCGTCACCTTCATTTTGCGTGTGACCACGAATTAAGTACTTGTGTGAAATATACTGAATGTTAAGCTGCTGAACCGCATACAAATACATCGCTATCACGAATCTACAACAGAAACAATAAAAAAAATTATTAAATTCTTCGGCAATTTTGTTTGTGCTTCGAACCTGTTTTTCTGTTGTCCCCCGCAATTATCAGAATAGAATAAAACTTTGGCCCCAGGTATGTTATTTGACAACTCTTCAAGATAGAGTAGCACGTAAGTTGCTATTTCATTCACACCTCTTTGCGCGTACTTCTAAAAAAACGTAATATACGGTCCAATGTTTTAAGATAGGCGCTAAAATTCACTAGTGAGGAGCCTTAATAGTATCCCTGCTATCGACTAATTCATAGATGGTCAGATAATGACATATTTTGATGACTGCTGCTGATTTTCTCATTTCTGGGATTTTAACCACTGAAAATTATGTCAGTGTTTAGTCAATATTTGATTAAAATTAATCAGATGTTTAAATCACCTCTCAAAATTAATGACGTTTAATCTGGACCTCCCTGTAAATGTTAATGTATAGTACAAGTCCGGTCGCTAAATTTTCTTTTTTTAAACTGAACACTGACATAATTTTCAGTGGTTAAAATCCCAGAAAAGAGAAAATCATTCAGCAAAATCTGTCATTATCTGACGGTCTATCAGTTTGACAATGACGTTAACAACAGCTATGAAGTAAATAAAGCTGATTAACAGGTTCAATAACGACGAAAAGTACAATTAGGTCACAAAATTGAAATAATACCCTCAATAAACAATGACACAAAGTACACTTACGTCGTTGTTGCACTGGAATCTTGATCGAAGTGGTTCAAATTGCTCAAAATCTTCCAATTGCGTCGTTGTTCCACTGGACACTAACACAGACTCACTAACATCAAGGACTGAACTGAATCATGTGGCACTGTTCTACCGAAACTACGCCACAAACATCCAATATTTCTACAATGACGTAACTTCCTTTAGCGGCCATAAGAGCAATTACATTTGCGTCGTTGTTCTCCCATGTGTGTTACATATTTTTGAGAACAGGGGCGTATTTAACTGCAATTACCATATTTTTGCAGTTACGTCATTGTTCTTCTGGAACGGCGTTATGTTCTTTACATAGTAACTTCTGATCTAGAATTATTTCTAGATACTTAATTGATGGTAGTACTGGAAAAGTGATATCTTGAATTGCTACTGAAATAGGTACTTGATATTTTTTTGAAGAATGTACATAACTGTTTTTTAATTTGAAATATTTAAACCTATAAATTCGCAGCTGTAATATATAGATATACAATATCATTATACACCTTCTATTCTATTTCAAAATAGTTTCTTTCTAGGTATCGTATGCGAAAAAGGTAAAACTTTTGGGATATACGCTATGAGAGTTTCTCGATCTTATGATACTGGGTATCAAGAGGAGTGGCACATCTACAGGAGATACAGTGATTTCCACGATCTTTACTGTAAGGTGAAGGAAAAGGTATACAATAATGGTTAGAAATTGTTTTATGTACTTTATATTAGTTCTTTTCAGTTTCCCGATTTATCGAAACTTTCATTTCCTGGTAAGAAAACATTTCACAATATGGATCGAACAGTATTAGAAAGACGAATGAAGATGCTCGGTTCATACATGGACGAATTGTGTCAGACTAATCTGATATTAGCTCATAACGGCCTTAAGGATTTATTGATGACTTTTCTTGAGCAAGGCGATTATGATAAAGCAAATGGGGGACCAATCTCAACTACAGTAAGGTTCCATAATTAAAGTACTACAATAATAACAAGTTGTGCATAAACTGTTTATTTTGAAATTATGAGGAAATAGTATTTGAAATTATTTTTATTTTATAATCGAACTTAATCTCAAGAAAATATTAAGAGAGGGGAATTTATATATATATATATATATATATATATATATATATATATATATACAGATTGAACCAAATTAAAACGGAACATACAATTTAATACATGTCTGTTTGAACTGCATTTAAAATAGTGGACCAATATAAAACTTGGACAAAAATAAATCCATACCTGGGTATAGACATTGTATAAAATATCGTTCAACTATCTGTCTCGCAACAAAGTTGTTTGCGTAAGACGGGTTTGTCTAAGGGGGAGATAATAGTTCAGGAATTGAAGTTCGAAAAAAGTTAAAACCTCGCAGTTTTTTCGTCCTGCATGTATCCAGTTGAAATTTTAGCAGAAGGTAGGTAATAGCCCAAGGATCAAAATCTATATCGAACCGAAGTGCGCTGAAGGGTTTTAGGGGTGAAAACTACCCCTAATTGTCAAAAATTATAAAATAATATATTAAACCTGAATATGGGTAAGATTTGGTTTAAATTAATTAAATAATGATTATTTTATACTTTTGAATAGAGTTCCATCATATTTCAACCCTTAAAAAGCAACCCTTGTTAGAGATTAATGTAAAAAATTACTAATTCTAAAAAAATGATTTCGCCTTGGATCGATTTGGATAAAAATTTGGATTTAAGCTCAATTCACCCGCTGCTTTATAGTTTATGTCATGTCGACGAACCCTGATTCTTCTTAGGGGTGAAAACTACCCCTAATTGTCAAAAATTATAAAATAACATTAAACCTGAATATGGGTAAAATTTGGTTTGAATTAATTAAATAATGATAGTTTCGTGCTTTTCAATAAAGTTCCATCATATTTCAACCCTTAAAAAGCGACCCTCAGAGATTAATATAAAAAAATTAGTAATGCGAAGAAAATGATTTCACCTTGGAACGACTTGCATAAAAATTTGGAATTAAGCTCAACTCACCCTCTGCTTTATAGTTTATGTCATGCCGATGAACCCTGATTGTTCTTAGGGGTGAAAACTACCCCTAATTTTCAAAAATTGTAAAATAATATTACAAATCCTAAGATGAGTGAAATTTGGTTTGGATTAGTTAAATAGTGAGTTTTTTATACTTTAAAATACAAATTCATACATTTTCAACCATTAAAAATTAATTGTTATGAGTGCTATAGGTGAAAACAATTTTTTGCCAAAATTTTGCAACTTTTCAACTTTTGAAAATCACCCTTTACAACATTGCAGTTTTTATAAACTAATTTATAAGATATAAATTGAAAAAAGTAGAATTAAATACAAAAAAAAATATCAACATAAAAAGGCACCATAATTATATTCTTATACATTTACATAAATAGTTGAAAATATTTATATTTATAGGTAAAACAATTATAATATTAATTTTATTCGTCATCAATTACATCTTCATCGTGATCTATGTCATCATCATCTTCCTCAATTATTGGTGGACTGTTATTGCACCCTTCACCTGAGCACCCAGAACAAGTAGAGTTACAGTATAAACCAACTTTTCTTTACCCATATGAAACGCCGCATCCTTTTTTGCATTGGCAAAAAATAATTTTCAAAAATTTATCGGGTGCAGGTTGTTTGTTCATGCGTACGGGTAATAACAAACCATCTTTGGAAAACCATCCCCAATCTGTTGCTCTGATATTTTCATTGCCAAGCCCTAGACATATGAGCAGATGTTTTATTCTGTTGTATGAGATTTCAAAATAAGAACGCTTAAAATTTCGAATGTATAACGCCATACTAGCTAATATACCGGTTTTGTAGATTATTATGCTTCGAAACTGTAATCGTACTATACTAATGGAATTTTCCGGAAAAAAAATAACTGGTTTTTTTTAACGTAGTTCCTTTAATTTTTAACGATAGAGTGTTTCTTCAAAAACGATTTGTAGAGGTTTTTAAGAGCTACAAGGATCTGTGAATTAAATCTTTTTGGAACCCTTGGTTTTTAAATGGGGTGAGTTTAAAGAGCTCGAAAAATTTGGTAATTTTTATTTTTTTCATATATTCAGTGTTTTCGGGCATATTTAAAAAAAGAAGGGTAAAAAATATGAAATTGTAAATCGTTTCTCGCTTTAAGCTGTACTTTTTCTAAAACTAAGCATTTTAAATGGGTCAAACTTCTTGGACGTATTAACAATATATGTACAAAGGGAATTGCAGAAGGGTGAAGATCGATTTTAATTATGGGGGTGGTTAGGGGGTTGTTTTCATCGATTTTTTCGTAAAAATGAGGTATTGACCTTATTTTCATCATAACTCACTCAATTTTTGAGCTAGAGTCTTTTTTTATGATAGGTCTATTTACGCTCTTTAAAAAAGGTTTTGTGAGTTTTCTTCCAAAAATGCATCATTTTCCCGATATTTGACTTTGAATCTTTCAAATTTGGCATTTGAAGAAAACCGCTGAACATTGATAGGCCGTATTCGGTTCCTATTATATCGCAAAAATATTTTAAAAAATTAATTGTATTTGTCTTTTTGAAAGCTACAAATTTGTTCTCTACAATTTTTTTGATAAAATGCACAATTTTCGAGTTATTCGCGAAAAATCGATTAAAAACGTGATTTTTTCGTCTAAAAGTTGTTACTTTCAATCGCGAATAACTTGAAAAATATCATTTTATAAAAAAAATGTATAGCACATTTTTTGTTTAGAATCACTTTTTTAATCGAAACCTGTAGTTAAAACGTAAAAAAAATTTCACCCCGGAGATGGGTTTCGATTAGATTTTGCGCACTTTGGTTCGATTAGATTTTGATCCTTAGGCTATTACCTTCTGTTAAATTGCAAGTCAATTCACGCAGCACGAAAAAATTGCGAGGTGAAATGCTTTATTTCCTGGACTATAACTGGTTTGACAGCATAATAAAATCGGAGATTTATGTGTAGCTTTCAATTTTTATGAGTTCAGAATCCAGCAGCACGCTGAAGTGTGGGACTTTTATAATGTAATTATTTGACAATCTTTTGTTGGCCAACCACTTACAGCAGAATTGAGCCGAAATACATTATATTCCTATGTTCCGAATTTATTTCGTTCAATCTGTATATATATATATATATATATATATATATATATATATATATATATATAATGGTAAGGTTAATTGGGTTAGCAGCTGAACCAATTAACCTTACCATTATACTAATTGTACAATTGTACCAATTGGACAGCTGTGATCAATCTTCGTATATATATATATATATATATATATATATATATATATATATATATATATATATATATATATATATGTTCGAAAAGATTTCCGCGGTTAGTACAATAAAACCTAGAGCTAAGATTAATATTATTACTAAAATTAATATTAAACTCACTCAGTAGTACATTGTAGTATACTACACACTATTATTCACGGCACGATCACTACTACAGTAGTACATTGTAGTATACTACACACTACTGTAGTAGTGATCGTGCCGTGAATAGTAAACAGTGCAGTAGTGTCTGGGGGCTCGGGAGACTGAGACCTCGGAAGCCCTGAGGAAGGCATCAGAGAGGATGCCGAAAGCTTGGCAAAATGGATTACGACGCGGTTCAACCCGGAAGACTGGTGAGTTTAATATTAATTTTAGTAATAATATTAATCTTAGCTCTAGGTTTATATATATATATATATATATATATATATATATATATATATATATATATATATATATATATATATATGTATATAAGTAAAACTAATGGCATGTCTCTCAAAACAAAAAACTAAAAATGGTATATCGATGGTATTACCAAGAATACCACTCCAATGTATTCGCCACCTTTATGCATAAAATGTGTGCCATTTTTTAGTATTATATACTCATCACTTTTTCTTCTGATCTCGCATATACCAAGGATATCCCATTTGATATTCTTTAGTTCACTTTCTATTTCTGGGAATCTATTGTCGTCCGTCAGTGTTCGAATATTGTAGGAGCATAGTCAAATTGTCATCTTGTGGCAGCCGGGTCTTACCCAGGGATTCTTAGCACCCCTCCTTCCGTTAGTTGTTTGATCGCTGCCGTGATCAAGATTCTGGGTGCCTTTTCTTTTTTGTCCTGTACATTGAATTGAAGGTTTGGACCGTTATCTCCTCACGCTGGTCCAGTGCGGGTTGAGGAGGGAAGGGAAGGATTTGGGTAGGTCTGGGTTGGTGGGTAGGATTTAGGGATTAGGATCCGCTTTTCTCCCCGAAGGTGATTGGGAGAAAAAGCCGAGCTCGCGTGGGCAGGGCGCATCCCTGTCTTTACCGGGATCGTAAAGAGTGTCTACCCGCTACCACTCCTACTAATTATATATATATATATATATATATATATATATATATATATATATATATATATATATATATCGATGGAAGGCAACCGTATATACGTATTTCTGACTATTGGTCGTCTTCAGTACGCTGCAGCCAAGTTAGAAAAGGAGCATAATAACTTGGGAAAGAATCACTACAGGAGCAATGCAACCAATTTGTGGCATTATAGTTAGAAGACCCTTATTGGTAGTTTCCAGGGAAACTACCAACACCTACCGCGGAGGAAGCTACAGCTACCTGGGGAAAGGAATGAACTTTCAAACCTTTTCCAACGAACTATCGCAGAATCCTCATTCTTATTCAAAAAATCTGAGGGGGTAGCTGTCAAGTCGAGGGGATGAAAGGGGTGACAATTTTTTTATGTTATAAAATACCTTTATTAAAATAAAAATTGGCGGGTCCGAGCGTTTTTCATTTTTTTTTTCTTAAATAACGTAGTTTACTAGTGGGGGGGGGGGGAGACTTAATATCCACACTGTGTAGGTAGTCGCCAACGTTGCTGGGAGACTCCATATATGTAGGATTGCATTCGTCATCAAATAAAAAATAACCCATTTTTAACTTCCATATTTATCACGAACCACGAGCAGAAGTTCAGAGTTAAGTAGCATTGCTTAATAAACAATAAAATGCTGTATATAGTAAATCGATGGGGGTCGAGAAAACAGTGTAAGTTGAACACTCATGACGAAGAGAGTTGACATGCATAAGACGGCATCTATTCTCAAAACGACGAAAGACGTTAATATTTTTGCTATTAAGCCGCGGGCCTATTTTAAGTTATAGTTACATTAGTTAGTTGTATATTGCTGTAATTTTGGAGTATAACAATAAAGTGTTTGTTCTAATTTCGAAGCGACCTGTGACCATTTAATTAAACCCTAGACAACAAGATAAAACCCTACATATATTTCTCTATCCCCCTCACATTTTGCTTTATTTATGATTGTTGATATATGGTTAATTGCTTTGATATATGACTTTTTAGATTGATACCCTAGTAAATCCTCTAAAATCAGGAATGAAAACTATTAAAAGTATGCCAGAGCAGCTTATAAATACCGTTGATGAAGTAGTCGGGGGATTAACTAAGGTATTTCATCCAAAACCAGTTAGATTTCCTGAGGCTTGCAAAGTTGGTGCTTCTATAGAGGAGGTAAGAAGAAAAGCTTAGTATATAGCCGGAGGTATTCAAAAAGGCTAATTTTTATTTTAAAAAAAGGTTAATAATGTTTTAAATTCGCTGTATTATTTGACTAATGTTCAGCATCCTATTAATTTAAACTACTTATTAACATTAGAAAACAATGAGTTTTTATAAAAATTATTGTATAAACATGTTTTAGATTTTAAACTCAAATTTTAATTATAAATATAGTTGTTTGTAATTTGTTAGAATATAAAAGAATATAAAAAAAGAAAAAATATAAGAAATAAAGAAAAAAATAAAGAAAAAATAAAAAAAACTTGCACAGTTCACTGTAAAGTAAATAAAAGTAAAGTAAAATACAATACATAACTAAAAAAGCACCTAATAGTAAAAAAAACTAGAAACAAATTACCAAAAACAAACAACAACAAATTACTTACATATTTAACAGGTTTTGTTATATTTGAGTAACATACAGTTATTTTATTTCTTTTCTTCCACATGCCTTTTTCTTAGTGGAGATTGCCAATTCTTATGTCTCATTATGTGAACGTCCAACCAGGTAAACCTCCTAATGAAGTGACATCCTATCGACCAATATCACTCCTTCCGGCGATGTCAAAACTATTTGAAAACTTCTATTGAAAAGATTAAAACCAATAATAGAAAGAAAAACTTATACCAAATCATCAATTTGGTTTCAGTTAGACTAAATGATACCCAAGTTCCTTATGCAACATCAGCAAAATGCTTGGGCATCACCCTAGACGCGAAGGTGCGCTGGAAAGTCCATGTCAAAAAGAAAAGAGGGGAGCTTGATATTAGATATAAGAAATTGTATTGGCTGATTGGAAAAAATTCAACATTATCAATTCATAATAAATGATCCATCTACAAGCAAGTACTGAGGCCAGTATGGGTGGGTGCCAACTCTGGGATTGTACCAAAGCTAGTAATCTACATATTATCCAGTATTTCAAAACAAAGTACTGAGAAACATTGTTGATGCTCCTTGGTAAATCCGTAACAGCAACCTCCACCAGGACCTAGGTATGGAAACTGTCACGAGCAGAGACTCGTAAATTAATTAACTCAAGAATGTTTATAAAAATAACTGTTGATTTATTAAATATGTCAGGAAGATACTATACATATATAGAAAATCAAATATTTTATAAGACTCAAATTATCACATAATTAATATCAAAATTAAAATATATTTGAATTGAAGATCTAAGTGGATAAAGGTCTTATCTCACTTTTTTGAGAAAATTGTTTTATTGGTTTTTTGTTCTCCTAATGTGCTGTTTAACCTTTTAAAATTTTAAAATTACCTAGTTTTAGCTAATTAAAAAAAACTAGGAAGGTATTAAAGCAATATGTCACACTAGATTTTTGAATTCTAGTGGATAAAGGTATTATGTCCAAAATCGCGGACATATTACCTTTATCCACTCAAATGTTTAGTAGCTCAGCAGTTGGTTTTCCGACATTTAACTTTATAGGTAATGTTCTATTCTCATTTACTCGGATTTAATTTTAAGTTGGTTTTCCTAAGCCTCTCTAGTACCTTTACCAGGTCTTGGTTATGTTGTAAATTGTTGCCAAATACTATCAAGTCGTCCAGATATATGAACATGCTTTCGTAGGTTAATTCTTACATTGCCATTGTCATTGCTCTTGAGAAACATCCCGGGCTTATCTTTAATCCCAATTTAAGTCGCGTCATTTGGTATTGGCCTCTACCTGTTGAAAATGCTGTGTAATCACAATGCTGTGATGTCTCCGTTTGACAACATATATGATTTAAGATATTCTATATAACATTGCAATGTAAGGGTTTATACCCTTACTGTACAAACAGCTCTGGAGTTTCCTGCACGGTATAACGTCCGCACATTGGTCCGTAACGTCTTGATACCAATCTCATATCCTTATTACGTTTGCCATGTCATCGCCTTAGGATTTTATTTCGTCAAGCTTTTACAATTGAGAGGAACAATAGTTTTTTTTACAATAATAGGTTTTTAGCCCGTAGCCTAACAACTTTTTCGCCCGTGAACTATTTCTCTCCTTCTCGTCAGCCGTGTGACCGTGTTTCCCATTGGGATTGATTACCACAGACTTCCTCAGGATGGCTGTGGTGATCATGGTTCAGGATCGAAATGTTTCTGCCAAAGTAGGTTAGCGATGCTAACTAAATACAGCGTCATATTTTGGTTATCACCACCTCATTTGAATCCCGGCTGACTCGATTTATATACGAAATAATACGGTTTTGAATAAATTTAAAAACAATTGTGGTCACATGAAAATAATTTCCCAACCTCCAATTTTACCTCTATTATGAATTTTTATATTGAATTTATAATGTTTTTTTACCAATATTGTAATCTTAGACCATAAAAACTGATAGACGCGCCGTAATGCTATTCTCTCGTCTCGAGGAGTGAAGCCAACATAAAACGATTCACACAGCTGTGGGTGACGTCAGTTTGAGGCAGAAACGGTAGAGATTAGTAGTGTTTATACGCGTTGTAAACGTTTTAAAGTGTTTAAATTTAAAATTTTTCCAATACATTAATATTATAATTATGGTGGCATCTTGCAGTGCATTTAATTGTACGCAGCGACAAAAAAAGGACAGATATATCATTTCACGGGTAAGTAAATTCACAAATTAAACTTGAAAAACATACCAGAAATTTAGCACCTATTATTTTACATTTTGTTCCCTTATATATAATTTTCATTTTATAATTAGATTGAAAAGAAGCAGTGAATGTATTAAAACAAAAAGTAGTTGAACTTAAAAATAAAGGAAAATCATGTATTTGTGCTTTGATGGTCGATGAAATGTCTATACACCAGAAAATAGAATGGGATAGTGAAAAGTTTTTAGGGTAAGTGTAGCTTAATATTTATTAGCAATTAAAAAAAGTATCATAACATTATATTTTCTATTTAAATAATTGAAATCAGTAATTTTAGGTATGTTGACATAGGAAGTAAACCTCAAAGCGATTCTTCCGAAATTAAAGCTAAAGAAGCAATTGTATTCTTAATTAATAGTTTAAATGATTCATGGAAGCTGCCGATAGGATACTTGGGATTAATCGCTGGGTTATCAGGTGTTCAAAAAAGTAATCTAATAAAAATGTGCTTAAAAATAATGCACGAAGCTGATGTCACAATTACCAGTCTAACATTTGATGGTGCGGCATCAAATATTAGCATGGTTAAACAACTTGGAGTTGATTTATCGATTAATTCCAATAAAGTATATTTTCTACATCCAGCAACAAATCAACCAATATATGTAATGTTTGACCCTCCACATATGTTGAAACTTATTCGCAATACTTTAGGTTATTACCAAATTTTTTTTGACGGGAATAATAAAGCGATTAAATGGGAATATTTGCAAAAATTAGTAGACATTCAAGAGAAGGAAGGCCTTCATTTAAATTGGTATAAGGAAAAAATGAAAGTGAAATTAGCTGCCCAAACGTTCAGCCAAAAAGTTGCTAAGGCAATACATTATTTGAGAAATAAAAGCTCAAAAGAATTTGTACATAGCGAAGCTACTCAAAATTTCATTGAACATATCAATGATATTTTTGATATTTTAAATAGACGAAATTTATTGGCAAAACACCTAAAATCTAGTTTACAGCATCATAATAAACAAGCGATTTTTCAAAAAACTGAAGAATCTATAAAATATCTTAGTTCACTTAAGTGTTCCAAAAATGGTGAACCCCTATATCTAAGCCAAAGAAAGACGGGTTTTATTGGTATGATCATTAGTTTCAAATCACTAATGGGAATTTGGAAAAATTACGTGGAGGATATGGATGGAGGTCTGAAGTATCTTTCGGCCTATAAACTTTCTCAAGATCACTTAGAAGTTTTCTTTAGTTCTATTAGGAGTCATGGAGGTTACAACAACAACCCAATGGCAAAACAATTTAAAGCTGCATATAAAAGACTGTTAATGCACACAAGTGTTACAGGATCTACCCAGGCTAATTGTATAGAACAGGCACCTTCCATAATATTAGCAATGAGCACAACAAATACTGTGAAAATGAAAACTGTTGATCATCAACTCATTGACAACTTTATAACTGATGAAAATAATAGGGAAATAATAACTAGTAACCAGGATCAGGATTATACTGTAAATATTTTAAGTTTTTCAAGAACATTATCATCTTATGTTTGTGATGTTGTTGACTATATCGCTGGGTTTGTCGTTAAGAAAGTTAAGAAAACATTAAATTGTGACATATGTTTGTGTGCAATTGAATGTGATAATTTACAATCTCCATTCATAAGACACCAAAATTATAGCATGTCAAAAGATTTTTTAATTCAACCTTCTAAAGACGTCATTCATATTTGCAAAATTGCTGAAAGCGAAATTAAATTTATGTACAATTCAAAAAAATTAAACGATTCCAAAATAATGACAAAATTGATCTTAAATGTCATGAGTAACGGGCATGGTTCTGTGTTTAACGCATACAAAGAACATATGTTTGATCATGAATTTGAAACAAACCATTTGTTTAATCTAATAAAGATAATTTGTTTCCATTATTGCAACATTAGATTGTACCACAAAGGTGAAAAACTAAATAATGTAATAAGAGTTAGAAGTAAGTTAACGAAAGCTATTTTGTTTTTTGGTCAATAAATTAATAGATTTCCTACATATTTTTTTACCTATCCTGAAACTTCCACCCAAAAGAAAATTATTCTCCTTTAAATTTATTTCTCAATATCAAACAAGAAGTGATATACCAACGGTATATATAATGATATATGTAGGTATGTGCTTTCAAATAAAACATTTATTTTTACAATTTAAGGCAAAAATATTTATTAATTACTTTGCAAAATAATTTATCTTCCATATGTTTTACAAAATATTGAAGTTATATTAAAATTAATCTAAAATCGGGTAATTATACTAGTGCTTTGCTAAGAATCCAAGCGGGCTCTTGCCTCATTGTGACGTCACTTTCGCGGAAGGTCTTTGCTTCAACGGTTCGGTACAAGGCGTGTCTATCAGTTTTTATGGTCTAAGATTGTAATAATACAATAATTTTTGAATGCGAACAGGTGTTTTATTAAATTTTGTTTTAGACCGACGATAACATTCCACTTAGAATAATGTTACTTTTGATGGACGAAGTGTTCGATTTGAAGTCTCGAAATCAATGGTTACGAAGGAGGATCGTAACTTTATTGAGGCAGATCGTGAGGACCATGTTTGGTGATATAGTCAATCGTAGGATATTAGAATACGTGTCCTTCATAACTAGCCCTAAAAATGTTGCACAGTATTTATACATTTTTAAGTAAGTAGCTTAGTTTTACTTTTTTTGTGTTGTTAATCATTTTATTGTGATTTCAATTATTATTGATTGATTTTATTTTGTATATATGTAAAAAAATTATTTAAGTTATAACTTTTTTGTATATTAGGTTACCTATTTGAAATAAAGATATATATATATATATATATATATATATATATATATATATATATAATTAATTTTTCTTGGGAATCTATCAAATAATTTTTATTTTAGGCACTCTTTTTGGCCCAATGGAATGAGAAACGATAGGAGAACAGAACGAGATGATGTAGTTAAAAGTAGAACAAAAGTTGCGGCTAAGATAGCTCTTCTATCATGCCTATCAGGTTTGTTATATATTATGTTCTTAAATTAAAGAAATCAAATATTATTTTTTCATTCATACAATTACAGAATCACTACATATTTAGGTATATGGAAATAAACCAGAATTAATTATATTAAAATTACATATTTTGTTTCGATTTCCTAAGCGAAAATCGTTTTCAAAAAATTCTGAAATAAAAAATAAAATAACCTATTATTGTATTTTTAATTAATGGCGAAAAAAGTTGAAATTTAGACATTTAAATTTACTGGCACGGTCTTATAGACAAGAGCCGTTTTTATATATTCTAATATTTCTTCATTATCCGTTCACAAATTGTTGATAGCATGAAATGTGCCTCAAAGTCATAAAACGGTCGTCAAATTTGTATCATCATAGGCGTTTCTGATGTGTTTATTCATTATCAATATTAATAATGTTTTAATACTAATATATTTGGCAAAAAACAATTAAAACTTTCACGGCTAATGTTGGTTATTATATTATATTAATAAAAATAAGAATTTAACCATTAACAATTTTGTAAATAAGAATACCTTATCTCTTTGAATATGTCAATACTAATCTTCGCGTTTAATCACTTTACTAGAAAACCTGGAATTCATATATGAATTTTTCATAAAAGGTACTATTCGTTGCAAGATAATTAGGATGGAATTCCCCAGATTTTTAATAATATCATGGGTATAAAGATGCCGGCTTTGGCCACGTGCCTTGTCTGTTCAGTTTATATACTCGTTTTGTTGGATTGTTTGTGATGGCTTCATCATCAACATCATTAAGTTTTACACCGGTACTGTTGCGTACAGTCAGTAAGTCTGTCTATTCACCAAGAGAGAAGACTATTGTCCTAAATGTTCACGATGCTCTGGTTTCTCAGAATCCCACAAACACTGTTCGCAACATAATCGAAAGTTGTGCCAACATGACTGGAGTAGGGGATTGAACTATATATACACACAGTTTGTGTGACAAACTTCAATGTGGCGACTGTCCAAAAACTTACATCGGTCAAACTGGTAGAAACTTTGATAAACGAATAGCACAACATAAAAGGGCTTTCAAGAATAGAAAAACAGATTCGACATACGCACTTCACCTTCTAGATCATAATCATTCTTTTAATGACAAATTTGAAATTCTTCACATTCAAAATAAAGGCCTTAAGCTATCTTTATTAGAATCTATGGAAATCAACAAATTAAAAAACACAGATATAATTCTGAATGACCAACTTGAGACAAACCGTTCTCCCCTCCTCAACCTATTTCATTAGAGACTATAAATTTGTAAACCCAAGCCAAAATAGATCACTTGAGAAAGGCAATCAGCCGAAACAGCTGTAGTGATAATATTTAAAATAAATTTTGTGGAAGTTAAATGCATCTACAATTCGCTTATACGTATTTCGTCCCAGCAGAACTCATCAGAGCAACTGAGTGAAAGCCCTTTCTACCCAGTCGCTCGATTTCTAAAAAGATTTTTGAAATTTCTGACTATTGCCTCACCTGTTGACTGAAATTCGAATGCCTTCTTGGCACCCTCTGGAATCTTCAACCCATTCCTCTAGCTGTTTGATCAACTACTTTATGATATGATGTTTTAACATTATCGTCGAGAATTTTCTTTCCAAAATGTTAAATAGTCTCTGTCCAAAACAGAACAACGAACGCACTAACAGGTTTTCCGTTATTGGTGTATATTTCCGAATAATAATCCTCCCAGTCCAGTCTTTATAGAAATAGAAATAGAAATATGCTTTATTGTCACTGAAAATTATTGAACAATTTTATGGACAAAGCTAAAAAATAAATCAGTCAAATAGTACAAAAAGTATAAAACAAAAACAAATATAGTAAAAAACAGAATAACACAATTTTAAATTAGTAAAATTATTGTATAACCTACATAATTTGTACAGACAACAACAAATGAGACAAATTGTAGCCACTGCTTGAGACACCCAAATGTAATTATAAACAATACTAATGTTGTTTCTTTGTTATACATTAAGAAACTCGTCAACTGAATAATATGGTCTTTCTGAGAGATAGATTTTTGTCACCTTACGAAACTTAATGAAGGATGTTGCGGATTTAATTTCTCTTGGAAGGTGATTATAAAGTTTCTTTGCACGATATAGAATAGAATTATTTACTAGCTGAGTAGACGGGATCGGCAACTAAACGTTACAATCCGAATTTCTAATGAAGTAGCCATGGTCAGGTCTATCGGGAAAAATGTTTAGATGCTTTCGAATCAAACAAACCGTTTAAAAAATAAATAAAGAGGGAAGCGTCAAAATTTCGTGATTTTTGAAGTAGGTCTTGCAATGAGTTGTTTGTTTGAGACCAAATAGATAACGGATTGCTCTTTTTTGCAACTTAAAAATAGTATCAAATTGGGCCGCTGTACTAGAACCCAAAATGGAAGCCCATATCGAAGATGGGACTCGAACAATGAGAAATATGCCATTTTGGCAGAAGATAAATTTAGTTCCTTCGAAACAGATCTTATTGCAAAGCAAGCTGAGGCTAGTTTCTTCCTTAAGGAGTCAGTATGCAAGGACCATTTGAGATCACTGTCAATGAGAATACCTAGAAATTTCACGGAATTTACGATATTGATTTGGCTCTCATTCAAAAGCAAGGGTTGCATGACTCCTTTATAAGATAATGTTACAGTCTTATCCACGTTAAAGCTAAGTAAGTTGGAGTCTGACCAAGCCTTGATTATAAGTAAATCAGCGGTTATAATTGAATGAAGCGTCGAAATATCAGAGCTGCTCCAAGTAATACTGGTATCATCAGCAAATAGAAAAATTTTCCCTTTAATTTTCAAGTAAGTGATGTCATTAATGAAAAGTAAAAAAAGAATGGGACCTAATACTGAACCTTGCGGTACTCCACACTCAATATCTTTACAACTAGAGTCGGTGTCATTTATTCTAACCAATTGTTTCCTACCTAAGAAGTAAGTTTTGAACCAGTTCAAAGACACACCCCGAATTCCATAGAAAGTTAATTTTTGTAATAGAATGTCGTGATTTACGCAGTCAAAGGCTTTGGAATAGTCGCAGAAAACGGTGGCGGAGGAGAGGTTACTATTTAGTGATAGATATACATCATGTAACACAGAAAATATGGCATCACTAGTGCATTTATTAGACAAAAAGCCGAACTGATTTTGCGATAAAATATTATATTTAAGGAGAAAGGGCATAAGTCGAACTTTTATAAGTCTTTCAATAATTTTTGATAGTGCTGGTAACAAGGCAATAGGTCTATAGTTGCAGGCATCAAATTTTTCTCCACCTTTATGAAGAGGAATGACGATGGCAGTCTTTAGGCAGTTAGGGAATGTACCTTTCCCGTCTTATTAGTTCCGTCTTATCAACTGGTCTTAAAAAGAAGGTATCAGCAATGTTTTTTGAATTAGAGAGATAGGAAACTGGATCTTGTTGTGGCGAAATAGTTGAGGTTATATTTTTACTCACATTAACAAAGTAATCATTTAGATTTTCGGGGTTAGGAAAAGAAAAGGTTTGATTCGCTGTACTGGTTTTATTTCGAAAATCGTTTATTATTGACCAAGTTTCTTTTAAAATATTTTTGGAGCTTGTTAAGCGATTATGAAAGTAGGATTTTTTGGCTACTTTGACTAGTTTTATATAGCATTTTCTGTACTTGTTGATATAATCAGAGATGGGGATACTGTCATTAAATTTTTTAATATATAGCAGAGAACGCATATTTTTTGGGTATATAGCATTTGGTAATGCAATGTTGGTATGTTTTGACCTGATGTTTAATAGAGGAAATGCTTTATTAAAAATAGATACAAGTCTATTTAGAAAATCACTAACATTACAGTCAATGTCCCCAGAAGAAAAACTCCAGTCAGAAGTCAAGCATAATTTATAGAATTTACGAAAGTTTTGAGTGGAAAAAATCCTACTTAATCGTCGGGTTTTTGAGTGAGGTGTTTGTAAACTGCTAAACTTGGTATATACCGCTTCATGATCAGAAAGCCCCCCACTAATAACTGTAGAATGGACGTCAGCGGGTGGAAAATCGGAAACCACATAATCAATTGTCGAGGATGATGTTTTTGAGATTCTTCTTGGAGAATTAACGTGCATTGTGAGACCATATGATTCAAAAATAGTTACCAAAGACAGTTGGGTCGCACAAACAGCAGCGTAGTCAATATTAAAATCACCACATAAAATTTTTCTGCTTTTAATGGCCAGAATATCTAACAAATTTAGCAGGCTCTGAAAAAATAGTTCAGTATCAGAGCTGGGGGATCTATAAATACAAATAATGTATAGATTAAATTTCTTATTATAAATCAAAGAAAATTCGAAGTAGTTTTCACCCAGCAAATAGTCATATTTCGAAACTGAAGAAAAATCATTGTTATTTGAAAGAATCAGAGTGCCACCATGAGCTGAACTTGGACGGACTTTTTACTATTATAAATTTCTTTGGTTTTTGCTGTAGTCGGATATATGGCCCATATTTATGAAATAGTAATAATAGTTTTTCATTAAACATTGGTTTTTTTGTTTCAGATGAATTGAAGCATATTATTGGATCAGAAACGACGAGGCGAGGTTTACTTACAATTTTCGAACTTTTCCAAAGACCAATATTAAATCGTAGATTACTCTATGTTTTATTAGAGGGAATACTGTCTACTTTGTTTCCCGAGAAGGATATGAATAAGTTGTTTATTAAACTATATTCTAAGTCAAAGAAAAACGAACAGATTAATATTCAAAAATCTAGCTGATGATTTATTTCGGTATATTGTTTTTTGGTTATTACCATTATCGTATAGGTATAAAATTATGCACATAAAATTTCATACTATCTACATTAAAATTTTAATTTTCAACTAGTATCGTGTAATTGGAACAAATTTTGGCTTGGTTACTATAGAATGGAAACAATGATCAATTTGGCGAATTGTTGAAGAGTATATTTGAGGAGCTCGCGTGCGAAACCGGATATATCCACTTTTAAAGTTTTTTCAGGAGATGAAAAAATACCCTGCATATTTATTTTAAAAATTATATTAATTTGAGAAAGAAAACAATTTCAATTTAATGGGGTTTACTAACTGAATGACGTATATTTTTTTATAAAAAAAGTAAACAACTCGGCGTTATTAGCAAAAAAACATTGGATATATCTGGGTTTGCACACAAAATGACACACTGTGAGCGAAAAAAAATATTTATTTTTCATTAAATAAACAAAGTAAGTTAGTTAAAGTAATACCTCGTTCCACTGAAGTGTATTGAATGCATTCTTAACATCAAACAACAGCAGGGCAGCCCAGCTATGTTCATTCCCTCTGTTGGGCAATGCTTCGAGTACACTAATGATGGCATCAATCGCGCTTTTCCCTTTACAAAAACCAAATTACCTCCGAGATAAACCACCTGACCTCTCAATCATGTCGTCTATGCGTACTCGCAGCATGCTTTCATATAGCTTACTGATGCATGGAAGAAGGCATATGGGGCGATACTTTTCCCTAGCTTTAGGAAGCAATATTAACCTCGATGTCCTCCAAGGCTCAGGAAAGGTTTGTGCTTCCTGCAGTGCATTCATGTGTTCCAGAAGCCACGCAGGTTCCACCCGTCCTAGACCTTTCACCGCCTCAGGTGGTATCTGATCCAATCCGGGGGACCTACAAGTCTTCAGTGAACCCAATGCCTCGATAAGTTCATCCATGGTAAAGGGTACAGCCCGTTCAGCTCCTTCATCCCTCCATACACCATGACATCTGCCGTCCGGAAAGAGCTCTCTTGTTACCTCAAGCTTCTTGTCCATAGGCATTTCGTAAGGAGGATACGCATGGAACTTCTTCATGACGATCTTGTATCCCTGATCCCAGATGTCCTCATTAAGTTTTTCACACAGCTCTTTCCTGTACCTTCTTTTTTCTGTACGAATTTTCCTGTACAGTTCCCTCTTCCCTGCGCGGTACTCTTCCTCGATCTCCTTGATGACCTCAGGATTGATTCCTGCTCTGCCTCTTGTTCTTGTTAACCTTCTCATTGCTATACATACATTTCTTAGTGCCTCGATGTCCGCATTCCACCAATATGGCATCCTTGGCGACCAATCATGCTTCCTTCCATCGCTTCTTTAATTACTCTCTCCAGGCTTTCCACCGTCGGTGATTGAACCTCCAATATGCTCACTCTCCATTTAATTAGCTCCTCGTATACTTTCCAGTCATTCCCATCGCCGCATCTGCCCCCAGACGTCCCGGATGCAAGCAATGTGTCAGTGCTCTTTTAACCTGGTGCACTTGGAACACACATCTGACGCAGGGAATGAGAAGCCGACATTTTTTTTGTGTGTTTTGGCTTGGACAATTGTCATTCAGCCAGTCTTAATCTAGATAAGTTTATTAATGTAATTGTCTTGATACTTATCAAAGTCGACGTCATTGCCTTTGCTAAGAGACGCTAATTGTATCCGAACATCTGCGGTCCCTCCGGTGAGTACCGATCGCACAAGGATAGAAATTACTTTCATTTATTAGTTTTTTTAATAAACGAAAATTTCTCCACACAGGTGAGATTCCAACTCACGACCTTTAGGTTTAAAGGTAGGCGCTCTTACCACTGAGCCACAGAGGGGGTTTAAGAAGTCGACATTAAAATCATTTTAAAATATATTTCTAGGTTAGAGGTAGATTACTTGATTTTCAGGATTACATTGCCATATATATATATATATATATATATATATATATATATATATATATATATATGTCTTTATATCAAGGCGAGATCCGTTTGTATCATAAGCTATACAAAATGAGATCCGTTTTGCAAGGCGAGATCCGATTTTGGATCTCACCTTGTATTCACGTGTATATAGTGACATCTCGATGTAACAATGATGGGGGTACAAGGAAATCGATTTTTGTCTGGACCTCATTTTGCACCCCTTTTGGTGAATTTTATATTGCAGTAGTTCCACTAAATCCGCTGTAGAGGCAGTGCGAGCGATCCGTTGTGTATATGCTAAATATACATTTTGTAGACAACCCGAGATCCGGTAAATTTGGCAACATCGCAAATAAATTTTACAGTCAGACCTCTCACTCCCTTCGGCTTATTTCCGGTTTGAATAATAATATCTACATTATTAAAGAGCTCTGTCCAGAAAGGCGATTGTCAAATATCTCGAGAACTAGACGTCGCGTCGTATCGAAAAAACTTAGGAATTCTTTTTTAATGGTTTTTCAAAATATAGATATACTTATGCAATAGCAGGGTTCTTATTCTCCCTGTGAACGCGGTGGGTGTAGCAACTTTGAATTTTCAACTGGAACCCTTCATTTTTATTTAAATAAACATTTTGAAATTAGATTAGAACTATTATGGATATAGATATAAAATTAGAATAATTAATTAAAATTATAAATTTAGAGTTGAAAATACACAATTTTTGTGTGAATCTATAATAGCTTCTTTAACCAGTGGGAAGAGCTTCAAAATCGTCGTTTTGATGACATTTTTAGGAGTTAGATGATTTTAAGTTTTAATTTTTTAGATAAATTATGTAGAACACGTTGGTAAGTACTCGAAGTCTAAAAAATTTCGGAGACATTGTTTATTTGTAGTATTATTTTTTTACAATTTTTCTTCGCATATTTTCTCCACTGTTTGTTTTACAAAAAATGTCAAAAACTTATTTTAATCTACAAAATAAATCTAACCGCGTTCAATTTGAATGAGAGTTACAAACACAAATCTGTTTTGCATATCATTTATAATTAAGGGACCAACTATGCTGTTCACGTACTATATTAAGATTCCACGGGAATATTTTTCAATATATGTAGTTTATTTGTGCTAAACTTGGACACTGTACGTCAAATAGTTTACAAGCTATAGCTTTATAAACAAATTAACTTTATATTTCCTTTAAATTCGTTTACTGAAGAAAATCCAAATTTAGCTATACAGCTCGCACTCCCTCGTAGGGGAAAATTCACTCATCCCAGATACCCACGTTATCAAAAGGATTGACCTGTGGGACTCTTTCGGTGTTCGATTCCTAGGTGACTTGGTACATCGGGGTTTGTCCCAAAAATTTTCATACATTATTATCTAGTATTATATAAAGCTTATTAAGGACGTTGTAACGGCGTTAAAATTCAAAAGCTTGTGATATATAAAACATCTAAAATTGCAACGGTTTTTCCTTGGCAGCAAATTTCACGTTCAAGAACAAAGGATAGTAATAAAAACAATTCAAGTTATGTACCTATTTCTTAATTATTATCTTGTGTTAGTTATCTTACTCTATGTTAGACTCTTCATTACTATAAAAAGAAGTAACACTCTCTATGGTTAAAATTGTTCACGTTTATCACCTTTTTTGTAACATTTCACTTGGGCCATAATATATTTACAAGAACCAATGAATTTGATCTCGTTTCCGTTTACATGAGCATTGGAGCCCCTGTACAGTCTGACAATTAGAAAAAAAACCAATATAATAATTATTCTTTACAAAAAGGTAAAAATAAACTCATCTTTTACACCTATTAAGAGTATAGTATATGTATGTATGTTTCTTCAACTTGGATTCCGTGCTTAAAACTGGTACCAGCTTTACATTTTCTTTACTCCAGCCAGTTAGCAACAGATTCGGGAGTCAAAGTCTTGGTGTCACACTACATACTCATACCTTCGTTTGGATGAGTATGTACACGAATATTATATATTATACTGTCTGAAGTAGGAGAAAGTTTATATGGACCATTACAAAGATTGTTAGTACTGGTCAAATACAAAACCAATCCTTTTAGGGTTGTAGAGGTTCTTGAACACTATTGATTTTAAAATTCTTGCATAGTCGCCAAATGATTTGCAGTTGGAGGGTTTGCCAACGGCTTGGATTAAACTCATACCTTTAAGAATGTGATACTTTTGTTACTTTATAATGGTAATGGTAGATATTTAGACATAACTGTAAACTGTCCTATTATAGAACATAAGGCAGATTTATTTGATGGTATCGATAAAACTCCTACAGGTACAAGTGACATTGGATATGCTGTAAATTCATATTTGAAAATATTCTCATAATATTTATGTTACTTTCAATTGCCTTGGTTATTAATATTTTTTATAAAAGCTCTTGCACAGCATGAATAATTTTGTTGGAAATGTTAAAAGTACTTCTTGTATGCTGATAAAAATTGGGAGTTCTAACTGTAAGAAGAAATTTTGCTAGGCTCTTCTTTTTTTTTTTTGTATATTTAGTAAGGGTATTTGAACATTTGGCGATGCAATCTTATTAGCTGAAATTACGAGAAGACGATCTACGCTTTTGAAAAATAAATTAAATCGTAAAAAACTGATCATGTAGTTTTTGTACAGAATATTCGTCAATTTTCATCCGTTTTTTTCTATTGTCTACGTTTTGACTTGAGTGGTTGCTTAGGTCTCATGATGCACGAAATTCATCTACCATCATGCCAATCATATTGTAGCTTAACAACCATTCGTCTTGTTTGGTGCTGGTTTTAATCAATCTCACGATTCCTCCTGCATCTTTTGAGTTTGTATTTATATGTCTCAAGCTGGATCTACAAATAGTTGGTTAAAGTTTCTGTTCAAACTTTTCACAACAAAATTTTTTCTCATAAAGACTTCATGCAATTCTGGAGCCTTATCAGCAAGTTTGTACATGTCCAACAAATGTAATGTTTACCAAAAAGAATAGTTCACATGGTTAAATGCAAAGAAGTAGGGATACATTTTTCTAAAACTAGAACAAAAATGTATTCTCCAGTTTCCGCTTCTTTCAGCAAACGAAAATGGAAATGGACTTTACGGAAAGAAACATGCCGT